TAGGAAAGGTGACTTAAACTTATACCCGTAACACCTTTATATCACTCTGTACCATCATATGTTCTGGCCTGCCTGTTACACAGAAAAGCAGGACCTGACAGTATAATATGTTCCTCCCAAGCAAGGGCTGGTACAGCATGTTGCTGCTTATCCTGGATGTGCTACACACACACTGGGGGGGGGGAGTCATATGCAGTGATAATTACCTGTCCAAGCACACAAAGGTATAGCCCCCTGTAACTGTTGACCTTAAATGGCCTTTCTGTGCATAGAAATGTCACCCATCTTCATGAAGGAAATCTTTCTGCTTACTTGTTTAAATGAAAAACACAGCCTAACACAGATGAGCATACAGCAAAGTGTACTAACGGTTGGGTTTAAGATAGTCTTGTAATGAATTGCTGAAGCATATGCTAAAATTAATTCATCACACCCCCCTAGTTTATGATGAACCTCTGACTGTTTTATTTGCACTCTGCCTAATGGCCCATCTTTCTCAGGACAACATACATTAAAAGCCTCCCTGTAATTCCATGTTTTTATCTTCCAGGCTATGCTCAAAGAAAAAAAAAAAAGGAAGTGTTTTCTCCTTTCTTTTAAATGTAGCTCTTGTCTAAGTGCTAGGACAGGCACTGTCAGCTCTGAAAATTCAAGATTAATCAAACAATTAACAATTGATGTCAAGTGACTTGCCATGACTGGAAATGAGAGATGCTGCATTCATTTTAGCTCTGCAAGAACCAAAAATAGCTAACCTGATTTTTATGGACAGCAAGATTATTTTAAACCTTTTGGAGAGGAGAAAAGGAAGAGTTACAACTCCTATTAAACTGATTTCTTCAAATCTCCAATTGCATGTTGCATATTCTTTAGCAAAGGGCCAATCTGTAGAGAGGGCCATGCTAGAAGAGCTGCTGTGCTTCAGGTTCACACCCTGCCTTGACCTGAATGAGACTGAAAGTATACAGAAATCCTGAGAGGGCAAAAGCGGAGCTGAAGTTTTACTTTCTCTTCCCCATGTGCCAGCATAGCACTGCACTGCACAGCTTGAATAAACAACCGAACTGGGAATTACATCACCTCAAAACCGTAGTTTCCTTTAAACATTAAAAAGAATGGCAAGTATTTCCATTCACGTAATTATCAGCATTATCACCTCTCTTCACACCTCCTTCTATAGCATCTAACTGTTGGGATGGTAGGGACTTCTCTGCTTCTTCTCATGAGCAGAGAATGCCTTTGAGACTCAGCTGCAGCCATTTGCTCTTCTGTGTCTGAAGCCTCTTGACAAGCTCAGGAACTTCTTCAGCAATCAGGAAGACTTTATGGGGTGGATGAGGAGCAACTCAGCGCATTCACTCCATAAACATTTATTTGGAGAATTACAGCATACATATTTGGGCTTTCCATGGTATTTTATTGCCAAAATGGTGGATACCTCTGTAAAAGAGAGTAGTAACTTCTCCTGCAGCTCTGCTACCTCAGCCAGGCAGACGTAAGCCTGACTGATACTTGCATGGGAAATCAAAAATGAAAAACAAAGCCCTGCAGAAACTGGGGCTGGTGACTCAGGCAGAAACTTTTTTGGTTTTCCTAAACTGTACGGAGTTCAGCAGCTCCCTACTTACCCACCTACTGGCTCTCACCTGGACAACCTGGTACAACTGAGAACATAGGAACCTGAATTCTGTTCCCAACTTCACCTCTGACACCCTACAATTTTGGAAAAGTAGTTAAACCTCCTGAGACTGCATTAACCTCCTGAGTCTCTTTTTTTTTTTTTTTTTCCTATTTATGAAGCTGAAACGTCACACTGAGCCTTGCAAGGACTACTGGAATCTTTGGTTTTAACAGCGTGTGTCAGTGCCAAAAGCAGTGTTAGCGGTATTACAGGGCTAATTTCTTCACAAGGGAGGGAAACTCACTGTGGTACAAGTATTTTGGGTACAATTATTGCCCCTGGAAGTACTCAGATATTATTGCATAAAATTGTAAGCAGACAGATCTTTCAGATGGGATAGAAACCAGAGGCCCTGACTGGTTATTAAAAGACATAACATTTTGAAGAAATCCATATGTTAGCTTTTCCATGTTCAACCTGTTCCAATTTGGGTAATTACATTCTGACTCCTTAAAGCAGGGTGGCTGACCTGCCTGGCCCTACCAGCTGTATATCCAAATCTTCATGTGGCCCAGAGCAATATGACACAACCCACATAATTCAAAGGGCTAAAAGAAAAGAAGATCTCCAGGAGAGTTCATTGAAAGACTCCCTCCCCTGAATGAGAGCAGATCCACAGCTCATAACACAGTTTGGCAGCTTAAAGGCCTGGTTATAAATAGTGAAGTACCTAGTAACATACTAGTTACTAATAGTAACCTGCATTTCTATTTTATCATTAACAAAGAAAACCATTATACCCCTGACAGTATGTGGAGACTGGGCTTGCCCTAGAATCAAGCAAGAGAAGATGCTGAAGCTCACATTCTCCACTTTTCCCTTGGAGATCACCGGTGCTCTCTGACCATCTCCTTTTTTCATTTGTAAACTCAATGATACTTCACTGTGCATAGCAAATCTTGGTGACCACAGAATCCCAAACCACAGAAAGAGCGGTATCTGAGACTTCTTCAGCTTCCTGACACAGCAAAGAAGAGGAGAAGCATATGCTGCAAATGATTTTTTCATCGTGGACACAGAAAATTTTCCCAAACCCAAGATAAGGTGCCATTTCCAGATGGAAAGAAAAGTGAAGGCAGCTCCAAGCAGCCCTGAACATCTGGCCTATTTTGCATTTTAGATGCCAGTCTGACTCATTGATGGTGTCAGCAGCCACTCTCCTGGCCCTCACATGGGCAGCCCTGTGCCAAGACACTGGTATCTGATGAAGCTAATTCTCCAGACTTCATGGATGCAGAGGGGAACCTGTCCTGTTCCCATCTCTTCAGAGGTGCTGGTGGCATCTGGGCCATGATGCAGAGCTGTGAGGGGTGCCAGAGGCACCAACCCCAGGGGTAGAAGACAGTCATGGCTGGGGATGTTCTGCATGGCTGAAGGTGCCCACCCCTGAGACTCTCTGGTCTGGGGACTACTGGGGAGAGCTGGCAGGGGGATGTGGGCAGGCAGGGGACAGGAAAAGGAGCAGAGAGGACCTAGGGCACCATCTGGTGGCTTCACTCACTGCCTACCCCAAATCCCTGTCTCACAGGGTCACAGTATTGCATTAGTCAAGGGCTGAAGGAGCACCAGGTCTTTCCAAGAGGCAGCTCTGCGGGAGGACATCCCTACCCTTATGCAGACTTATGCACCTTTATGGCACTGCTGGATGAGACAGTGGTGCAAACCAGAGCCGTGGTAACCATTTCACTTGGATGCTGTTCAGTCAAGCCCTTGATTAAGAGCCAGCCCTAGCCAGGAATTTAGAGGTGATTTCCACTAGTGACACCTCTGAGAAGGAAAAAGGAGTAGAAGTTGGAATCGGTGAAGAACACCTTTGGCTACACCTTGGACATACATTTCATTGTCATTATCCACCACAGCAAGGTCTTTCTTATTTACAGATAAAGGCAAAATACAGTTGGCATGTTGCATGCATCAGGACAGTACCCATGCAATTCCTTTGTCCTCTGCAGAAAAGGATGAAACCAACAAACCAAAGAACCACTCATGTGCACCCCAGGTTTTGCCTTCTCAAATTAGGATTTGTGGTAAAGCATTGTGAGGGAGTTGTTTGAAAGGGACTAGGTGACCTCAGTATTACCAAGGCCCTTTGCAGCAATACCAGCTAAGACAACAACTGAGGATGATCACGGTGAGATACTGCATTTCTCAAGACCTGGTGGAGATGGCAAAGGACCTTGGTGCTAGCATGGCACCTCCTTTAGAAGGTGTCAGGGCAGCTCATTTCCACCTTGCACCACTGCTTACTTCACTAGCGGGTCTCCACTTCCATGAAATCCTGTCAATACAAAAGGATAATTCAACACTTGGAAATCAAGGTTTATACCACTGTAACCTGCAAGCATGCTCTGTGCACAACAGCACTATGCTGGGGGAAGCAAGTGAAGCTGAGCACATTAGGGGCACAATTTTTAAGAGGAAACTCAATATTTACTTTAAAGGAAAACATGTAGAGTGAACACAACAAGCTAGTCATCACCTCTCACCTTTGGGGAGCTGCGGGAGCCCATCCTTTTTTTTTCTTGTTTAATTGCTCAACACTTAAAAATTAACTCCTTTCCTCCTGTTAGTAATACTCATTTTCTGTGTCTGTTCTCATGGACCATAGAGCCAGGTAAGACAAAGAGACCAAACGGCTGCCTTTTTCCTGAACAAATCTCTGCTACAAAGTAGCTATACCAATATTATATGAATTATATTTCCTAATCTCTCCTGCCTGTGCCTGAAGGCATTTCCTCATACCTCCTTGGAAAACTTCATACTTAAACGCATCCCTCTTTATACTTTTCTCTGTCACACATTCCAATGCAACTGTGGCTGCCAGTGGCACACAGTGCTAAAGAAATGATATTAGCTTGTGGCTACATAGCTTCAGAACTTCCTTTTTCTTGTGCAACAGCCTTTTAACCTCACAGGACCAATCCAGAGCCCATTTGAAATCAACACACCAACTCCCCCCGACCTTGGCAAGCTTTGGAGCACAGCCCAAATCCTCAGTGTCTCTTGGAGATTTTTACTTTTCCACTTAATTGATCAGAACCTGGTGTGATTCTTCCAGTACTTTAGCTCTGACTCTTCCAGAATAGTCTTTTCTGTTCCAAATACCCTTCTTCCTCTCATGTTTCATTTTAAACAGCTTCAGCTACTTAATATATAGAATTTTTCAGGCATAAGTGTAAGAAACACGCTATTTAAAAACAGAAAGACAAGACAAATCAATTCATTGCAAAGTGAGATCCTTGCCAGGAAATTTCCAGTACCACCCAGTATTTTTAGCATTTGTAAAACTGAAAAAGCAAAACACAAAAACCAAGCAGGATTGTTTTGAAAGTTTTCACTTTTTATCTATTTTCCACCAGCTTCTGCTGAATATTTTATTGCCATGCTGCAACATATTTATAATTCATCTCATCATTTCTTCAAATTTGTTAAGGAAAGGAATTGTAATACCTGTACAATCCTCTTGAAGTTCTTCTGTGAATATGGATGTTTTCTGGTCGTATTAGGAAACACTAAAATTCCTTACTTCAAAAATATTTATTTGTAATTGTCATGATCACTTAACAAATGGAAAATGGGTCTAATAAGCCACACTGTCTGTTCATTGCTCTTTCTGAAATGAATTCCTCAACACTGGGAAGAGAAAAAGTGTTTTCCTGTGCTTAAAAAAAGTCCAAATTGCATGTTTGAAATCTCTTCTAATAAAAAGAGCAAAGCAATAAGCGGATTATCTCTTTAAACATAGTATAGGAAGGCTGGAGGCCCCGGAGACATTTTCCATAGCCTCTATCTCTGATGCATAGCAACATTATCTTCAACTAGAGAGGGTCCTATGACCCTGGAGCTCAATTTTAATTTGATCTTCTTTAAAGAGGTTTCTGTGATTCCTCTCAAGTTATGCTGCATATTCTTATTTTGGGTTGGCTTTGTTTGGTTGTTTTTCTGTTGTTGTTTTTTTTTAATCTGAGATGAAACAGCCTCAGCTTTTGATCCACTGGTTTGATCGTGTTATATGGATATTTCATGTAACCTCTTCCCTATCAGAACTAGAATATGCATAAGCACAAATTGTAGGCAAGTTCCAGCTGACCCGAAAGAGAAAAGCTTGGATAGAAGATTCCCCTCTAGGGCCTCCCTCCAGTTGCTCTAAGTTTCAGAACAGGTCTGCCTGTGCAAATAACCTATGGGGTCAGGGTAAAGGAGATTTATACCCTTGGGAAATACTGGCCAGCTGAAACAAGGACAAACCTATTGCCTTTGGTGGGGCAGAGGTACCATGCCTGTTCCCAGAGAGGCTCAAAATCCCAAGTGATAACAACACCCATTGCCAAAAAGAAGGAAACTGGGGAGCTTGACTTGAATATCTCTGGGCTGAAACCTGGCCCCAGACCCGCTTGGCTTATGCAGTGCCAGCAAGGGAGTTTCTGCAGATTCCCACCTCCTTGTTTCTCTTCCTTGTTCTGGAAAGGGCATTGCCACTGAGACAGGGGTATTTTCTGCCAGGCAGGGTTATTTTCTCTATTTTCCCATTCTCCGTCTTTATCTCTGTCTGTGCATCCAGTCCTCATCGTATACTGCTGTTATTGCTGAGGCAAAAGCATTTACTCGGAGGCACTGATTTGAGTCGGCTGAGTATGGTCACAGCAGGCATCTGTGACTACTTCATGGGATTAGCAGATTATGAGAAAGCATGTTTCACTGTGGGGTTCCTGAGAAAGGAAAAATGGGCAGGTGGATGCTTGGATCTTGGTTAAACTATGCATGAAGCCCTGATGACCGTGTCAGGAAAGTCGTAGACACAGGATCAGATGGACTGCTACAGGTCAGGATTGGAAGATCAAGACAGCAAGCAGGGAGGTCTCTGGATTGTCCCATCATTTACAGAGGATCGAGATTTAAGTATTTCAGCAATTCCAGGTGAGAGAAATCTGCACAGATCCCATCTGCACCATTTCTAAGATACATGTTGTGAGTGCTTGACAAAAGCAGCTTTGCTTTTGCATCAAACGGCTTTGCTGCAAAATAGCTCTGCTGCATCAGTGCAGACTGAGCCCAGTGGGATTTGAACAGATGCATTCTCTTGTTAATGAAGGGCAGTTTAGAAGGAGCCAGGGGGTCACAAGTCCCTCACGGTTGTGCCCTGAAGCCATTGTGGATCTCTGCAGAGAACTGGGGATGTAAGAGAGTAGTTCTGCAGTACAGAAAGATGTCTGGTCCACACAGGGTGAGATTTATTCCTGTTAGATATTCTCATATAGTGTATCACAGGATTCTTCTAGAGTTGCTTGCTTCTTAGGTGTCTGCAGAATGATGAAAAGGAGAATAAAGAAATGGAGGAAAATTATTCAAAAGGTGATGAATTAATTTTTAATAAGCAGACCCTGACATTTGTTCTGTTAGAAATGGCTCCAAGTGGTCTGCTGAAATGGAAGCTACTACAGTGAGAAATGTTGCTCTGCCATAGACAAATGTGACTAATCCAGCCCAGGGGATAAAGATGCCTCCTTTACTTGTCACTCTTCCCCCCAAAAGCTGTCAGACAGGAAGGGGAGGGAAAATTGGACTTGGTAAAAAAATAAATCACTTTGGATTCTGTGAAGGAGGAATTCCCTGACCTCCTCAATCCTGTTTCTTCAACAGTTGAGTCTATTCCTCACGACCGTTCCTTGTGTAGACAAGGCGCTGACAGACTGATATTTTAAGCGCTGTGTGGCACAGGCCTGCTGTAAGCAAGGTTACACAGCAAGTAGCTGAAATGCCACCGGGTGAAGGAAGCCCTACCTACACTAGCATTTTCCCTGTTGCCACCTCCAAAAGGAAATGTTTTACAAAATGCTGACTCCAGGCACCTGCAAAGCATGTGGGATTAACCCTCGCTACCCAAACTGGCTGACAGTCCAGCACGACAGCATGCAAATGCTTTTGTTTCAGAGGCTCTCTGCCCTGCTTCCCTTCACAGCTCCCTCTCCACAGACAGCATCCCGCAGCAAGGCCTGGCCTGGACTCTCTGCAGCAGGGTTGGCCACCATTCAGCAATCCCAGCTTCTGTTCACAGGCCAAACACACTGGCCCAGAAGTCTCACTCTTAAGGAAAACACCCTGTTATATTTTGGCACAGCCAGGTGGAGGAGGAGTGTCCCAGGTGGTCACAGCCCAGGATGACTGAGAGGGAAGCTGATGAAGGTGCTTGCACCAGCAGTGGAAAGCACCTACAAATTCTCCTGTGCAGCAATCACAGGGCACTGCCACTCACATTTCCTTCCGATCAGTACACGAATTCAGGACACTTGGTGGTGTCTGCTCTTGGTGTGAGACCTCATTTCATCCCCTCTCTTTGCTTTCTTCTTCGTTTCTCCTATTTCTGCTTCGACCTTTACCCCACCCTGGCTGAGACTATCAGCACCAGACCGACTCACACACAGATGCTTTTTTTATCTTGCTTTGCTCACGCTCTGTTTTACACACCCGCTACTCTCCAAAGCAGCAGTTGAGTGGTGTGGGCCACACACAGATTCAGCACAGCCCAGACAGCTCCACACTAGGGAGAAAAACCCACGCATACTGCATCTCATCATCCAGACTGAATCATTCCAAAGGGGGCAGCTGAGAAAGGTATACAGAAGAATAAATAGGACAGGGAGAATGGATCAGGATCTACTGCTCTCTCTATCCAGCTAGTTCAAAATGCAGCAGGAGCACAAAGCCAGGGACACTGTCTTTTCCAGCATGTATGATGCACTGGGGCATAAGACAGCCTATATAAAACAGACCATCCTTCCCCTCAGTGATCAGATACCTGCCACTGTCTGCTACCGCCAACCACTGTTGTGCCACACCAGTAACTGCAGGAGGCTAGAGCCCTTGGGACCAGACCACATGGCAAGTAGCTCTGACACAGAGGAGGCTGCTGGATTTTAGACCACTGTTTCCTAAAAGGTGGGAGTTGTGAAAATGCCTCACATACCGAAAAATACTGTTTTTCAAGAAACAGAGGGACGATGTCAACTGAAGCTGGCACCATTCTCCACACTGCTTAGGCAACCTGGGGAACTCTCCCCAACAGGACATCAGTGGGAGGAAGCAGGAGGCATTTTCAGGAACACTTTCCAATATTAGAATAATGGAGGTATTTTTTAACAGATAAGAGGTCTGGAGGGAAAAAGAACAACAAAGTTCTGAGGACAGGAAGGAAATGTTCCCTGGGGTGCCCAGTGCAAGTTTTGCCCCTGTGAAACAGCTGATGCCTGCCAAAGGCATGGTAGAGGGCTGTGTGGGCTTCTAATCTGCTTCATGTGGCCCACATAACTGATCTGCACCTGCATATTCCTAGTTGCCGCTATTTTCACTATGCGTGCTTTTAGTTCCTTGTCTCTAACTCGTTACTCCCAGCCCAGCAAGAAGATCCGAGCTCAAAACATGCCCACACTGCCTTTTCCTTAGCCCCAGAGCTGACAGAGACTGTATCAGCCCAGCCTTAGTTCAGACCATCTTATATTCTGCTACCATGAAATGGCGCTCAGGTATTTAACGCCAGTGACAGCAAAGCTGTGTCCAGAGTCTGCCGCCAGTGCACAGATTCCTCTACCCCAGAGGACTTCTCAGCTGCCTAGATAACCAGGAAAGGACAATAGTGGAGACCAGCATCTGGCCAACCCTCTGTGCACATCCATCCTGTTCAGAGCAATGCCAAACCCCTCAATGCCTTTCAGCATACGTCATACAGCAAAGCATCTGCACAAAGCCAGGACTGCCAGAACTGGTAGAGCTGCAGGAGCGAGGGTTCTGCTGGAAGAAGGAAGATGGGCTACATGTGCAGCCCAGCTGGTCAGTGGATGCCATGTCTCATTTTCTCCTTTCAGTGTGCCTGCTAGTGCCATGGTCACTCTGTGGGGTTTCTTTCCCCACGTGCCCAGGGAATAAGGGAGCTCTCCAAGAGCAGGGCCCCAGCCCTTACCTTCCCTGGAGGACTCTTTCTGGGTGACAGGTTGTTTGCATTGTCCTTGAGGATAGAATAGACATCAACTTGCTGCAAATCCAGGCACTGCAGAAGAAGAGAGAAGAGATTAAGGGTCAAATAAATTACTTAGGTTTAAGACAATTAATAGTCTACTGGGTTGTTCCCCATCTCATGCCTGACATTTTTTAGGAACTGCCATCTCCAAAATGTTGACATTCCTGACCTGAACTTGGGCAAACAGAAAATCCTTTTCCCCTGAAAGCTCTACAGTGCAACTGCATCATCTTCCTTTTTCAGGCTCACAGGGGCAGGCTTTGATGTTACCTACCCTGTGTAAGGCAGTGGAGAACAATGCCAATGCTACCACTTTCTTCCACTTCAAATTGTCCCAGAATGCAGGATAAAGACCCCTCTGCCTCATGGAAGGATATTGTGCACCATGTGGACCACAGGTAATGGGCAGTGCTCTGCACCCAGAACTGTTTAGGCACCTGACACCCACAAGCTCTTGCTCATGGTTATTCTGGGCATACAAAGGTGAGAAGAGGGGCAAGGCTGAAGGTCCTGAAGCACAGGGGCTGACAAAAATGGGAAACCCTACCTCAGGCGAGATTCCTGTTTATTACCTGTTTTGGTTTTTTTTCCCAAGCTGAATCTCCCTTTTCTTCTTAGAGTGAGCAAAGAACAATAATAATAAAAATCAATACACTCCCAGGCCCTCAAACATACCCGTGGTCCCACACAGCTACACAAACATACACATGCCCTGCATGAATATGCACCCACTGGTCCCCCAGGTAATCATGTCACAGGAGATGCGTGTCAGTTTGAGTGATGTTCCAGATCTGCCTGAAGGATCAAACATAACAATCAGGAGGACTTCTCCGTGTGTGTTTCAAGGATGACAGCAGGTTGCCAAGGTGGCTGTTTCTCTGGCAACAGGAAGATGGGAGGAGCTCCGGCCGCAAGAGGGGCAGATGGTATTAGTGGAGAGACTGCAAAGGGAGCGAGGCGCCCTGCAACGCAGCAGAGGAAGAGCAAAATATGGAGGCCCGTTTCTGGGGCTGCCCAGTCACCTGAAGCCTCATCATTTTGTCCAGAGCTACAAACACTCAGTATCTTTCGGGATCATGGCCAGCAGGATGGTGGTTTGAACAGGACCAGATGATAGAGGAGCAGCATTTGCAAGTGGAGCTTGGAACAAACAAGCACTCGGACAGGAGGGGAGTGCAGAGAATGGAGCACCACATGGCACTCCCATTCCCACCCCTCCTCTGGGAACAGTCAAATTATTTCACCTGGCTTCTCCCCATTCCCAACAACCCGCTTGCCTACACAGACATTCCCAACTATTCACATGTGCACTCGCGCACATGGAGAATCCCATTTCCCCATTCTCATTTTCAATTCTCTTTGTGATGCTCACAGTGAGGACCCCATCCCACATGCTGCGCTCCCAGCAGCCTGGCACTGTGCCCCCTTGGCAGGACAACAGGCAGCCTCTTTCACTGCTCTAGTCTGACTCCACTCGCAAGCAAGAAGGATCCTTTTGGTGTTTAACCTCCAAAAATCATTCCCTCCCTCCTCAAGCCCTCTTCCCATGGAGGCGATTGACAGTGCTGGTCCTTTGCTGGCTCCTTGGAAAGCTGGTTTCTCCAGTCACCATTTGCAAATTAATTACTTTTCCTTGGTCGCTGACCACCTGCTACTGTCACAGTGGAGGCACACAGGCCTCTCTCCTCCCTGCTGGCAGATGCCTGCCCATCCCCGAGCAAGCAGCCTCCTTGTCTCCCTCGCACCATGAAAAGCTCCTGTGCTCTGGAACCCGCCTGCACTGCAGGGGTTCTGTTTGCTGCTCTAAAAAGCTTATTTGAAGTGTAAAGTGGATGAAGCGAGTCCCTTGGATTGTTATTTCCAAGGCTCATTAACAAGGCAGCTGAGCTGGAAGACAAGAGGGAAATACAGGTTTGGGTCCGGGCAATGCAGTGAGGTAGAGCTGCTCTAGTGATGTAGGAGGGACAAAGAGGTCAAGAAACAACTGGCAATGTAATGGGAACAAAGAGGGTGCCCAGCAGCCCTCTTATTATCAGGGCTTTTTGCTACTTGCTGTTTTTCACTGCATAAACCTACCCCCAGGACCACGAGGTGAACAGTGACACCTGGAAGAGCCAGCGGGGAAGGCATTTGTTCTTAGAGATACTCAGCAGGATGGCTTTGCAGAAGGTGTGCTAGGACCCTTCCCACACCAGGGGTGAGCCTTGCTGCTGTGTAGGATAACATGTCATGAGCTGCACCAGCCTGTTCCAAGCCTTTGCTTTGATGTCCAGTGCTGCCTCCTGTCGCTCCTGCTCTCAGTTCCAGGCCTACAAGGACACTGCGGTTCCTTGATGTGACTTGTTTCCAGAGTCTGACCTCTTGCTTTTCCCCACAGATAGCCCATCTGGCATGTGCTGGCCTCCTGTCCCATTCCCTAATCACCGACCTCCTTCTTTATCTCATCACTTGGAGTTACGTCTCACGTGTCCTTTCCATTTCCTTGCCTTAGCTTACCGCAGCACTGAGGACAGATTTCTACCCTCCCCATGGACTAAGCTCTGCGTTCAACACCCGATTTAACAGCAGCAGGTTTTCACAACACACCTAGTTTCAAGCACAGTGTGCAGAGCTGGGTTTACACCATGCAGAGTCCCAACACAATTTGGCAGCGGATCACCAGTCATCTTTCAAAGGAAATAGGTTTTGTCGACTTCCCACTCCCTTCACGTGTCCTGAGGGCCCATCCAACACAGGATCCCCGCCCCAGGGCTCTGGCCCTCTTTCCTCCATGCTCCCTCCTGCTCTCATCATGTGCCATGCGTGCGGCTGGAGCTGCTGCTTCATGCCTGAACGAGTCACCCCGCAGCAGCTGCTCCACGATAAAGGACCCTCCATTGGGTGGGCTTGTGCCCCCCAGCACGCACAGGCAGGAGGTGGTCCAGGCTGCTTACAGCTCTGCCGAAGAGGGCTGAGTGCCTGCTCTGCACACCATGCTGGCTGCGAGCCCTGCACAGCTGGTGTGTGGTTAACGGGCCTCAGGGAAGGCTGCCTGGGCCAGGTCCATAGGGCTGCGGCAAGCACAGAGGCTCAGCCAGCTCCAGGCACTGCCTGTGCCTAAAGCTGCCTCTGCTGGCTTGCTGGATTAGCCTTCGCGGGGCCTCCTGAACAGAACAACATGATGAAACATGTAATTAAGATGGAGCTAAGGATGCATGACGAGGCCGACTGAGCGAGAAATGGATTTGATTTTTTTTTGTCTCCTTGCAGAAATCATCCACTTCAGCAGGAAACTACCCATTTGGATTTTTATAAGCCTGAATTAAAAATAAATTACTTGATACAAATGAAAAGGTTTATAACCTGCAACCTCCTTTACCCAAAGCATTGCTTTTTGCCCAGAATAAACATATCACGTACAATACATAGTGGTTTCTTTGAAACCTCTGCTCCAAAAATTCAAGGGCCACAAAATGGTGCACCCCCTCCTCCGCCTGTGAAGTGAGAATGAGAACAGGGCAGGCCCATCCTCTTGTTCATATCTGCCCCTGATCAGGTCTCCTACCTCCTTGGCAGAGCTTTGCTCCTCTCTGTAGTACATTCTCCAGGGCTTCGCTTTGTTTAGTTTAAATGATTAATGCAGCAGAGCTCACAGGTTTTCCTTGGAGAGACATTTCCAGCCCTTACAGACCCTGCAGTTAGAATGGTTTCCTAATATTCAGGAAATATCCTTCTCTACTCACTTTCATTTTATGCCTCCTTGTTTGTCCCACAGATCACGGGGGTGGGGAAAAAACAACCCTTCCCTTCGTCATGGAGCAGCCCTCCCATGGGAGTAAAAGGAGAAAAAGGAATCCATTTTAAATGGATCTGGATGGGTTCTAAATGGGATTAGGGGTCGTGGTTACTTGAGGTAGCTGAGGTCTGGGTCTGACATTTCAGGAGAGATACTCCAATCTTATTACCTATGATGCTGAGCCTACTGGCCTTGAGGTGTGGGAGCAGTTGGTGTTCCCCAGTTTGGGGAATGGAAAAGGAAATCCTGCACAATGAAAGTGGGAGATGCTCCAAGAAAGAGACTCCTTTCACTTTCTTCCTGCCCTTTTCTCCCTGAGAGAGAGAACTGCAGGGTCTGTGACACTGACACCAGTTAAGGTGTCACAGCAGGAGCTCTAATCAGCTCAGGTTGTTTTGGGGGAGCACATCTCTCTGCCCCTTTCCCAAGCTGTCATTCTCCAGCTGGGAATGTCATGCCCATGAGACACTCTACAGTACAAAGTGGGGCTAAGATCCTGTCTTTCTTCCTGCCTCCTGGAAGACCTTCCTCTTCTAACACCAGGAACCCCCTCTGGCCCAAAGCTCTGTGCTGCTACACTGCTGACAGGGGAAAGGGTGCTGCCCCACAGGGCACAGTGCAAGGCTTTGGCACTGGGGAGGCCATGAGTGGGACCAGGATGGAGACACACAACATGCATAGTCCTGAGAGGAGCTAAGCAGAGCAGAGCACAGGGTCATCAGTACCAAGCTGGTGCATGGGTATTGCTTATGTTTCGTATAATGATACTGGTGCTGTCTGCACCATGGCAGAGCAGGAAAAGGAAGGGTTGTACCATGATGCGAAGAGAAAGGAGGGAGGGTGATTCTGATACTCACATCATAGACAGGAGATGGTGGTAGTGGGACGGCTGAAGGGGGTTGGGTTTCCACCTTCCATCTCAGGATATTTAGCTGGTTCCTTTTAGGGCACAACACCTGGTCAGGACAAGACACCAAATGATACATTTGGAGCAAACACCATCTTCCCAAAGTGAAATGAACACCAATGTAATGTTGAAGCCAGCTGCTCACGTACTCCCTCCCTGCTTTCACAGGAAAGAGTGCTGGCACTCTGCAACATGTGGCCTAGTCCCTTTCCTCACCACACGGTTAAATGGTCTGGTGACTTACCCTGGAGCGGTGGAAAGGAGAACTGGGCTCTGTGCATTCATAGAAATCACTTCCACCACTGAAACTTAGGTGGATGGAGAGTTCAAGTATTTAACAGCACACAACAATGCTGTAGGCCAGAGAGTAAAGCAGGGCCCTGTTCAAAGTGTGCAGGGGGATTTCAAAGAAACAAGATGACTTCTGTGAGGATTTGGCCAGGAAGCTTTTGCTAATACACAGTCTAAAGAGCACAGATGACCATTAATGATGACATATAGTCAGTGATATGCTAATGTACAAGTCCAGCATGTGGTTGAAGGAAGGTCTCTTCCTCTGAAACGTTTCGTGTATCAGATGAGTTCTCCTTGAGCACATTTCATCCATGCACAGATAAGGGTTAGCCCTGCTCAGCAAGCAAAAGAAGAGGCAGAAAAGGCAGAAGGCTTTGCTGAGTTTCTCTGTTCTAATTCAGAAAGAAGTGGGATGATTATATTCACATCACATGAAAACGATGAACTGCTTTCCAGTCCATTAGTAACTAAGGAGGATGCTAAATAGCTTCTCTTAAAGATAAACATTTTTAAACCAGCAGGTCTGAGCAAGCTGTGGTGAGAAATATGGGCTGTGTTCTGCAGGAGGGCAAACGGAATGTCTGCAAGATCTCTTTGGGCCCCAAGGAGAGCCTGCAGGTCTGAGACTTGCTGGCCCACCTCAAAACCTAGAGATGCCAATTGGCAAGTCGTGACAGTGCCTCCCTCGTCATCCCCATGGAGATGCTGTCTAGGCAAACAGAGATGGGGGCCCATCTCCAGCCTAGTCACTCTACTGCTCACACCCCTTCCCCCTCCATCAGACTGCCTGCAAAGGAAGTCTCACGAGATTAGCAGGTCTGCCAACTGCTGCCATTCTGTTTTCAACCTCCTGATGTCTGACTGTGTGTGCTGAAGCCTGATGCTCCTTGGAGTCATACTGTACCACTAGCACAGCCTCCACATAAAAATGCATGCAGAGTCTGCTGTTGTGTTGGCAGAGGGCAGTTTGAAAAAGTAAATATGGGGCATACTCTATCTAGAAAAAAACAATCCCCAAATTCCATTCTAAAAGACACCAGGGGGTTTTAAGCCAGCCTGGAGATCTCTAGAAGAATGCAGAGGATGTTATTCAAACACCTGAGGGTGGCAGTACTAGGAGCAATAGGTTTCCCCCACACAGGTATTCCAGTATCATAATTCCAGATTTTTTTCCATAGGGCCCCTGTCTCATCCAGATCTTCAGCCCTACTTTTGGCTTTTCTTCTCTTGCTCTCTGCATCATTTCTTCCCCACTCCTGCTTTCCTTTTTGCCCTCAGCTACTCATCCCAGATTCTACTTCCTTACCCAGCTGATCCCAACCTGTGCTACTAGTCTGCTCATCTGAAGGGCCCTGTCAGTTCAGTCCTAACACCCTCCTCCAAGCTCCAGTGCTTCCTCACTCCAGATTCCAGTCCCAGTTTCCCTTCTGAGGCTCCTTCCAGCCTCACAGAATCACTGCTGTTGGAAGGTGCCTCTGGAGATAGCCTTGTTCTATCCCCATCTGCTCAAAACAATGCCAACTAAAGCAAGTTGCTCTTCAGGTCCTTGTTTCCCTTTTTTTTCCAAGTTAATTGGGACTTCCACACAGGCTTCCTTGGCGTCCTTGTCCAGACCTTCCCTCTCACTCTGCCTCTTAATGTTTTCTCTGTCAAACAAAAGCTGGGCTTTGGTCTGGTCTGGCTCTGGTCCCCATCCCCTCCATGCTGCAAATCGCTTTTTTCTATGGTGCCTGAGCCATGGCTCAAGAACGCAGTTGTACAGCCTTCTTGCAATCAGGTTGCGCCCTTGAACCAGAGTAGTTCCCATCATGAAAGAGGATTAGAAATGGGGAAAGTCCTGCCCTCCGCCTGCCACCAGGGCTGCCACAGACTCGCTTGAGTGCACAGGACATTACCTGTCTAAGTGGCACCATGTGGAAAAGCAGCCTCACAGGGGCTCCTTTAGACAACTGAGCAGGCACAAACTGCAATTTTCCAAAAACCCATCACAAGACTACATCTTCTTGAATATTCTCAGGGCCAGCACAACTGCTAGTGTGACTTCTTGCCTTGTGCCAGATCCTTGCTTTAAAGCAGAGTATGCTGGAGTCCAAATGATTACCAGAATTTCTTTAATGGACAAATCAATGACCCATTTTGTCTCTCCTATGATCTTTTTTTTCTCAGAAAGACTCAAAAAAAAAAAAAAAAGGAATCAAACCTAAAGAAGCAGACACCCAACATGGAAAATTTCAGCACAGGGACTTCCAATTCAGCCAAGTTAGAAGCAAATGAAATAAATTCCTAGAATGGGTCGTGTCAGATATTGCTTTTTATTCAGTTATAACTTGCCTTTCTTTTCCACAGAAGCAGGGCTGTTGCAGCTATGCTCAATGCAGCAAGAAGAACTGTAAAGGTAATGAGGACTTCCCACCCATAAGAGGTCTCTACATACCCTGTACCTGTAAGAAAGAAGGCAAAAGATTCACAGTGTGAGTGGAAGTTACAATCCTGCTGTATCTTTAACCCTGGAGAAAGTCTTGAGAGAACTAAAAGAGAGAAACAGTGCGGAATATGGTACTGCAGGTGCTCACACCCTGCAAAACCTTCAGTCTGACTGAACAGAGAGCAGGGTGCAGCCAAGGAATCACACAAAATAGACAGGATATAAGCAGCTGCACTTCATATTGGTTAGAGGGAGGGGACATATGAGAGCCAAGAAGGTGGTAGGTAGAGGCTGGCTACTAGGGTCTTTAGTGGTAGGGGCAGAAAGACAGATGGTGGAAAGCACACAGGCCACACAAACTAGCAGGGTGGGTACTGTAGGCATCCTCTGACCAGAGCAGCAAAGCTATTTCATCACAGCTCTTTGCATTTACACTTTCTAAGAAGTTTTCCATATCTAGCATTGCATTCAGTAGTGCAAATCCAGCCAGTCAGCAGCATGCATGTCTGTGCATTAATGGAACAACTGACCCCTTGTACCACATGGGAAAGGGGGAGGGATTACAGTGAGCCTCTGACGTGTTTGTGAGCCCCCAACAGTGAGTGCCTAGCCTGTAGGTCTGATTATGGCAAGAATCCTAACCATTGACCTTGCAGTCAACCATCTCTGTCATGCTGCTAAAGGCCAAAGCACACTGTCTCCTGAACAATAACACCTAAAAGCACACCCTGACTCCATGCCCAGGCTCCCCATTTAGACCGTGGCTTTATGCCTGCTGTTCCCAGGAGGCTGGAGCAGGGCAGATAAAAATCACTGCAACTTCATGTCCCATCTGCACACTGGGAACAGTAGCACAGGTCACCTGTGCAAAGTGCATTTAACTCTGATGGCATTAAGTATTTGGCATAAAGTATTATTCCCACCTGACTTCATAGCATGTTTGGGCAGAGAAAAAGAAGAGAAAAGATCATCTTTTCATAGCCAGATCCAGCTGATTTATAACCACCTACCCTTTCTTTCTGGTTGTTTGCTTACCTCTAGCAAGGACAAACACTCCCTTTCCCATCTTGTGAATGTTATTCCATTTGACGTCACAGTAGTATGTGCCAGTAGAAGACATGTTTTCAAGGGGCCTGATTATGTGTTTGTAAGATACAGTAGCAGTCTTATTCTCTTCTCCAGGAGGGATGGTTACACTTTCCAACTTACTGTAAATGGATGTTTTCTGGCCCAGTGAATTAACCCAGTAATAGAAGATTGAAAATGTGGTGTATTTCGGCATATAAGGGAAGATGACTGTACAGGGGATGGATATTCCTTCCTCAAGCAGTGCAACTTGGATTGGAGGCTTCTGCTGTACATTGACGCTTGCCCCTGTAAGGGTAATAATGGTTAGTAGTCACCTAACATCACTTTAAGTCAGGAGCAGCCTGCTGCCCCAAAGACAGGGTCACACTGAAAGCAACTGTATGTCAGGAAGTGCAGCCGTAGCACGCAGTGTTGGCCCTTGTCAGAGATGGAGTGATTCAGAGCACGTGCCCTGTGTGATCTGCCACATCTCTTAGGTAATTGCTGTATGATTTGCGATAGCCTATTGCATTCACAGGCTTCCCCTTTTCCCTTGTGAGCTCCTCTGTACAACACCAGTGTGCAGAAAGACAGGAAATGAAGCAGGAAGTGAACTGATTTTGCAGTGGTGTGAGACTGTATTTACAGCAGATGAATAGAAAGCAATTTTCCAAGACAAATGCTAGCTGGGCATCTCTTGAAACTCCCAAGTTACAAACCTCTGTTTGGGCATCTCCATGTGGCCATGCGATGGCTGTGGCAGTGAAGGTGCTGTAGGCAAAGCAGGTGTTGTAAGTGGACTGTGTGTTTCTGAAGCATGAGTGAGGAAGGAAATTACATATTCTGTACAGGGGCCAGCACCAGGGCCATGAGAAATAAGACACCGCTTAATCACTCCAGACTTTTACTGCTGTGAATGAGCAGCAAAGCACAAGACTCAATGCTAGATATGGGAACTATCTGCAGAAGACTGCAGATCTTAAGTATCTGTATGTGACAGTATCTTAGGCAGAGAGATGGGATATCATGCCCTTCATGGCTTCCTCCTTACACAGACAGGGCTGTTGAAAGTGATCTATCACTTCAATTCTTTAGACAATGATGTTGGGAGTTACAAGAGAGGATGAATAAGCACAGATGGAAAATCACACCATAGTTAACTCCCTGTTTTGTTTAATAAAAAATAAAATGCTAAGAGTGAGCCATGGGCTAGTAAGGAGCCCAGGGTGCAGGACCTCTTTTGCTTCTCAGCTGAATCCAGGTTTAACATCAGGCAGTCTCAGAATCTGTTTGTTTAACAGCTGACATGACACCACATATAAAGCAACTTAAGAAAAGGTCCCTGGAAACTACCGTTGTCTTTAAAAAAGGAACTGGAAACTTACACACAAGACTTCTTACAAAATGAAGGATTCTTTCAGAGACATGAAAATAAAAGGCGGGGGGGGGGGGGGGAGGGGGTAGAGAGAGAAAGAAGGGGATAGGCATGCTTTTCCATTCATGCTTTTGATGGGATTCCCTGGAGTTCTGCATTTATAAGCAGGCTCATAACAAGGCATTAAACCTGTCCCTGAGAACAGCCAGGCTTGCTTTCCTGTCATCATGCACTAATGCTGCATCACAACAGCAGCATCACCTCTGCACAGTGGGACTCGTGTTGGACAAGGCAACTCAGCCATAGGACAGCTGAATGCTAAGCACTGAGGAAGGGTCATGGGGGGCAGTAATGGAGGAAGAGTGTGGCCACTGTCCAGAAAGGACTGTTAGGAAGTAACGTCCATAAAGGAAAATCCTCTACAGATGATATATAGCCAGGGACAATGGCTGGAGAGTAAGGAAGAGCTTAGTTTACATCACTAGAAAAAGGTTCTTAGCTGTAAAAGCAACTGAGATACAGTACAGTCCTAAGGGATGTGCTTAATTCATTGTGAGCATGCAGTCCTGTGGACACTAGCTACAGTATTGTGGAAAGACAGTGACAGAAAATCCTGCAGACACTGTAGGAGTGATAACCCGAGTGGTTTCTTCTGGGCCTTATTTTCCAAAATCATTCATCACCCTTCTCCTGATCTCTACCCAGCAGAACACACATGAATATAGTTTCTACACAAGACATGGCTAAGCACTGCTGTAACAAAACAGAAGAGCGATCCATCTTCTTACAGTATCCCAGGGGCCATTAGCTTGAGAAGAACATACTAGGGAAAAAGCCGAACCATTTTATTTAGGTTATCTAACCCTTCTCCCATGTTCCTTCTTTCCTGAGGATTCTCTCTCTCTCTGCTTTGAAATGCTTAAAAGACAGAAATAGCAGCAGCGTGCCAATTCCTAGAGGGAATCTCTGGAAATTAGCAAAAGATAGCAGCTGGAAACACTCTAATATGAACAAACGTGAGAGTAAACAAAAGGAATAAAAACTCACGAGTTTACCTCCACACTGAAGCAACCAAAGAAACAGGAAGGTGACTTTTAGAGTAGAGGCCATGATGAGGGGGTCAAAGGCTGGAAGAGAGCAACCAGACACATAGATCCAAAAGGTGAAAGAGATGGAGGTTGTCAGGTATTTCCAAGCGTGGGCAGCTGGTTGATCCTCTCCTGTTTGTGAATGGATGTCAGGATGTACACACACTGCTTTTGCCAAGTTGTTCCTGGCAGCTGCAGCTCTTCTGCTTTTCAGTAAGACTCCTCCCCACACCAGGTTTCATATCTCTGTACTGTTACAGTGGTGTTACACCTACCAGTGGGTGCCCAAAGATTAGACTACAAACTCTTCAATGCATTGAGCTTTGTCTCCCGATGACTATAAAATATCCTACTCATTCCAAGCAAACTTTGTCACCTTTCACAATGACCGAAGCCCGATGTTGGACTAGGGAAAAAAAATGTGCTTTGACTGATGCTGACTGAGGCCATTTGAGGTGAATGTGGTCAAATTCAGGGAAGGATTCAACTGATTCTGGAGCAATGGGCAAGCTTAAAAGTGGCACAGTGGGGTTTTTAACCATAATTCTGCAAGGATTTGTTTACACAGTTGTTTCGGAACAGCTATTCCTGAATATCTCACTGCATGGACCATCCAGGTTTTGGAATAAGGGCACATTACTTCTACTTATCTTAATCAAGTGCTTTCTTCACATGAGGAAGCTACTGAGCAGTGCCACGGGGTGTGGATTCAGGGCAGAGTAGCAACATTAAACTCCTCTTTTATGTGAACACTCAAGTGTGGGATCCCCTGTTTTGCCTTCAACACAGGAAACAAGTACTAACATCAGCAGTCAGTACAGAGGAACAGCTCCGCTGTATTCTGGACTGTACAAAACTTCCCTCCACAGCCAACTCCTCTACTAGGTCACTTTGGAGAAAGGCACTCTTATTCCAGAAGTGAGAACAACGGGACAGCAAATTCATTCCTAATGGCTGGGATGTTTCAGATCCACACAGCTGGCTCTGAATCAGCTTCGCTATACAGGAAAGCCTTAAGAAATCTATTGTAGGAGAATCTAAGGAGAGCCCTTTGAAGAAGAAAACCCTCTTTTTGTGGGAGGATCCTGCCGCCTATACTCAAGAAGAGTCTTTGATTTTGATGAAAGCCTGTTTTTAGCTAAGAAATCTGCAATGCAACAGCTGAGCAGTGTCTGACTCAAAAAAAACCTAATGCCTGAAAGGTCTTAACTTCTCTCTTGGCAGCTTCCTCCTTTCGTACTTTTTTTGTGAGACATTTGTTCTGTCCACAAGAAAGCACTATGCTGCAATTTCAAGGGTGCCTGCACACATGGGGTGCTTTGCTGTGGAGATTGGTAGGAGACAGCTGTGCAGGAAATACTGAAGAAGGTAGATGAGCCTGTCATCAAAATTGCTCTCTATGAGTTATCCCTCCAGACTTTGTAGGAGCAAGGTTTGCTCCAAAACCACCTTTGGTTTACAGCATTTTTCCTCCTGCTCAGCCTGGACAGGTCCTCCGGAGGAAGGCATCTTGACACAGGGGGTGGCTTGCAGCTGCAGCCTCTACCGCCCCCAGAGACCAGGGATGACTCCAGTACCTTCCTGAGAGAGAGCCCTGACAGATGGAGAGAGGAGCAAGTGGCTTCGTATGGCTCTTGAAGGCTGGTGCAGCAGCTGCACTCCTCCAGGGAAGGTTTAGCCCAGATTAGCCAAAACCAACTCCTCTCCCCAAGACATGCTGACGTGAGCTGCACGAAGCTGGTCTCAGCTGGAAATTACTCCTCGCAGGTCTTAATGCTGAACAGCAAGGACAATCAAGAGCGGTAACAAGACACTTGGGGCTCACTTGGTGTTTCAGATATGTAGGCACAGATCAGGCAGCTGTGGCTCTGAGGGGCTGTTGGAACACAACAGTGCTCAGCAGTGTTTCTCAGGCCTGAACAACACCTCAAGGTACTTGGAGGAAGGAGGGAGAAGGGGGCAGGGTCTTACTACCCTCCTGTGGAAGAGCTCTGCTGAACAGTGAGGGCCTCCTCTGCTCTTCTATCATGCTCATCCCCATGGTAGCACACAGCTTTGCAATTTCCAACACTGATGTATTTCTAGAGGACAGAGCATGCTGCTCCTGTCAGTAATGTGTTTTAACTGTTATCAGCATTTATCTGCTTCAGGAATTCAGAGCGATAAGTGGATTAAGTGCGGTAGCTTTGTGAGGCTGCTGGGTCAACATCATCCTTCCGTCTTTTCCCTTCTCTTCCTAAAAACAACCCTGTTGCCACTCTAAATGCCAACTCCTGGAAATATCACCCTCTGGAATTAAAAAAAAATATATATATAGATCTAGTATTTCAAAAGAGATCACACATAAAACCCAGCTGTGGGATTAGAGGCACCGCACGGCCACAAATACTTTCACTGCTGAGATTTGCTATGGTAGAGCTCGCTGAAAAGAAATGGCTTTGAAATGACTACCCAGCAGCTATTAACTGCAAGACAGGATGACATTCTGTTCCTCAGAGCCTAAAGGGAGCCTGGATCTTTGAATGTTAAATTCTAATTCAATTTGGTCTGGAGATTCTGGACTGGGTTTTAACTCTGGAGACATAAATGGCGGAAGATGAAGATGAGGAAGATTGGGAATTTTGTGTTTCTATTGCCAGCCTGTAGCAGGGCTGAACTGATCCTCCCTAAAACTTAGGTTTTGGAGCCAACCAGAATACCTGTGCCAAAGGAAATAAATTATAAAGCTCCAAAGGAATAGGTAGTTGTATGACCTTCACTCATGCATTATACAGTACACTGCTATATGTGAGCTGCTCCCTGCAGCATGATGAGGAGGGAACTAACTGCCTGTCCAGCTGTAGCCCTGCAACAGCACAGACCGCTCAGGATCTGTATGGCTTGGTTCTTCCTTTGATGCAGGGAATGCTGATCACTTCCTGAGACTAAATACATGATTGGGCTAGGTGCTAGCAACAGTTTCTGCTCCTAGCTGGAAAGTGTCCATTAATTTCACTCAAGCCCTGTTAAAAGCCCGCGACAGTGGCCAGCATTCCCAACTGTGAGGAAAAGCACATTGCTCTGGCGCGCACAGAGGACGGGTTTGGGCAAGCGCTGAACCTACCAGAATTGCCTGTTCACAGCTGTGTCCAATGTACACCCACAAGTAAAGGCACATACACACACGTGCCCACACATGCCCCCCCCAGCCAACTCCAGGCAAAGCATTTATTCAAACAAAAAGGCTGCTGCTAGCCAAGGCAAAAGCACTGCTGCAGAGACCACAACAAAGCCTCTTTATTGCTGAAGCGTTTAACACCACAACCATCCAAAAGAGAAACACCGCTTGGCGCAGAGAAAAGCTGCAGCAACTCAGCGAGCCTGATTGCAGAGAGCGCTTCAGAGCATTCCCCAGCACGGCAGCTCCGGATTTGCTGCCTTGTCAGAGACCAGCTCAATCCCCCATCGCTGGAAAGCCAGCCAGCGGCAACTCACGCACCTCTGAGGATTCACAGTCTCTTTGACTCCTCTAACTCCAGACTCCGAGGCGTACAGTTTCCCTCCGTCTGGCGGCAGGAGCGATAGGAGAGCCAGCGCGAGCGGGGCTGTACCTCTGCCAGCAATTTTACCACTGTTGTGTGTCGAGTGCCTCTCCAGCAGGGCTGGATGATGCCGAGGTAAAAGCTGCCAATGCCCTCGCTATGTTTCTACCCGTTGAACTGCTCTAGGGAAGAGAACAATCAGCAACTCGAGGGGAAACCAGAAAAAAGAAAGGTGTTGACACTACCGTGGGGAAGGGAGGGGGCACTTCTGAGATTCCCTTTCACCAGCAGAACCAGCCTGCCTCAGAAATCACCCCGCTCCTGCTCTTTTTCTGTTCATCTACTGGAAAGATTCCCAGAGACTAAATTACCATCACACGCCTGCTGCGCTCGCAGGGGCTGATGCTGCGTGGCTGAGCCTCAGCGCCGCCGTGTTCCCTGCGGCTCCTCTTCACGGGCTCCTCGTACAGCCCGTGTGGCATGCCGGGCCGAGCCGGACTTATCCTGGAATGACTTTTTGCCTTCTCGGGCTGACACCTTCCCGCAGAACACCTGCCTGGCCGGGCCTGCGGCTGAAGCGGGGCCAGGCAGAGCTGCTCTGCTAACGGCACAGCGGGGCACGCTTCGTCCAGTCGTGCAAGGGAATAAAGCTCCCCCCTCCCCCGAGGCGGCTCACCCGCACCGGGAAGAACAGCAGAGCCGCCTCGGCCGAGGGTGACCCGCCCGCCGTCATCGAGCCCCCGAGTCCCGGCCTGGCTCTGAGGGGCGGCGGCCGTTACCCGCCAAACCCACGCCCTTGCCCACAAGATGGCGCCGTCGCCCCGGCGCGCACCGGCTCCGTCCCTGCTCCCGCCGGCCGGCGGGGCCCCCCTCCGGCCCTGACCCGCGGGCAGCCGGCGGTCAGCAGCGGTAACTGCGGTTGTGCCACCGGCGTTTCGGCTCAGGCCAGCTGCACACGCGGGGCCTGGCTCGGACAGGTCCCGCGTGAAAAGCCGGTGTTGTACCAGGCCCGGCCTCCTGCCCGCACCCACCTACCAAGTCACTGCGGGAGCTGCTGTGTTTCACACCCGGTACTGCTCGGTGGAGAAAACGAGCAAAACCAGCATCTATTTAAGGCAAAATTAATGCTAATTAACCGTAATGGACAACTCGAAGGACAACATTTACTCAGCAAGCTGCAGATACTGCAGCAGCAGGCAGAAGATGGGGTGAGAGAAAGGAAAATAAGCCTTAGGGTAGGCTCTGCCAGATGCACAGCCCCACTGCAATGGGGTTAATCTGTTCCCCTTGTCTGCCGCCCTTCTCAGCCCTCTGCTGCCAGAGGTCCCTGCCCCTGCAGCAGCCCCGACCTGTCGCCCTGCACACATCTGCCCCAGCAGTTCAGAAGCCATCCATCCTATACCAAGGGTGCTGTGTAAACTCCTGACAGCAGTGGTGAGGAGCGCAGTTCTAGTATGAATGGTACTTCTCAGCTTGCAGAGGCCTCCTCACACTATGCGTGGGTGCTTCCCACAGCCAGCAAAGCCCAGGCACCTATTTCACACTGCTAACCAGCGATGCTGCTCTAGTCAAGGCTCCAACGATGATGTTCAGCTTCCCATGGTTGCTTCACCAGGGGCAGCTCAAATCAGTGCCTCCACAAACAGCGGCAGCATCCCAAGGACATGTGTGTGGCTGCTGTGGGGGCCCTCGTGGGAGCAGAGAGCAGGAGTCACAGGCACACAGCCCCCCACCACCATGGGATGTGTCACCACCCCCGGTGTGCCATCACCAAGCCAGCCTGGGCTTTCTCACATTAGCAGCAAAAATGCTGCTGGTGGGATGCTGGGCAGGAGCAGGGCATGATGCTGAAAGCTCCCAGCCATGCTCTCTTCACACAGGAGCCTCTGGCCCCTCTCCTCGCCAGCTGCATGCCTTGAGGTGTGCACATCATGCTCTGAAATCCTCCCGAGTGAAGGGCTGAGCTGCCCTCTCTGTAAGGGGCACAGTGTGGTGCACGCAGGGGCTGGGTCTGCACAGGGCAGGCACAGAGAGGGTCATGTTGGACAAGGTAGCAGTAGCTGGGAGGGAGGTGCAGGACCGGTCCCTGCCAGCAACAGCCTCGCCAGATGGCCCGTATGGCCTCGTCTGCACAGGAAAGCTGCTCTGGCCTCAGCAAGCCTTGCTTTGAGCCAGCCAGCCGTGCCAGCCTCACTCCCTACACCCTGGCAGGGAGCAGCTTCTAACCACCTCCAGGGGCACAGGCCTGCCCCACAGCTGCCTCCAAATCCAAATTTCTTCTCCCTGTGCTCCCCTGCACTCAGACCATGTAATTCCCTCCCCTGTTCTTCCCCTCACCTTTTTATGTGGGTTTGGGGTTTTCTTTTCTTTGCCCTGCAGCATCTTTCCAGCTCAGGGTGTTGGGAGGCACAACCCACAGCACAATGACAGCAACCTTGGGAACCAACATGGACCCCACAACAGACGCATGCAGTCACACCCCACTGTAGATTGGCACAGCTTTTCTTGCACACCAAGCCTCTGCCAGCTCCTGGGATGAAGGCTGGGAAGAGATTAAGTAGCTAAGAATCAAGCTGGCAAATGAGTATGGCTCTTTTCTTTGTCTATCAATTCCTTAACTTTGCTTTTACCATGAAATGTGGAGAATACGCAGACTGATACAGCTGTTTTAGCACGCTCTCCTAGGGTAGGAAAATGTCTTTTTGCCACCAGGGCCTATTCTGGCTATGCAAGCTAAATAAAGAATCCTGGCAAAAGCATTTGCTGGAAGAACCACCTCTCTGCTAGGATTTTTGCCAGTATAGAAATGTATTTCATTCTGTCTTCCCTCCCCACCCCCTATTTCCCACTGCTGTCTACATCCTTGGCTGGCAGGACTACAGGACAAGGATCTGTAGCTCTGGCCTCATGCAGGAAGATTGGATTTTGTTTTTCACACCCTTGCAGACCACTCCTGAGTGCACTGGGAGCAGCCAAGGCTGCCATGGGGCAGTGGGAGACCTTGGAGGGGTTTTCTGAACCCTTCTGTGGGCTTGGAGGTTGGGAACTGAGCCTGAATCCACTCCATTTCTTCCAGTGAAAGGCGTCACTCCTGCCTGGAAAACCACGTGGTGGTAGATGTGCATTCCACAGGGATGGGAAGTGGGAAATGCAAAAGCCCTGGAGTGCAAGAGGAAGTGTGTCCTGTCTGCACAGAGACATAACCTCAGTGAGAACAAGTGCATGGAGGTGGGACTAGGTGGATACCAGAGCAGGCTTCAGACCCCTTCTCCTGTGGCTAAGTATATCTCCACTTCCTCTTCTCATATATATATATATATGTATGTACATATACATTCAGATGTATGCGTATATATGTATGCATGTATATACACATACACACCCGTTTTATACCTAGCCACTAACACTTGTTGAGCTTTCCCTAAGGCTCCCCCCTGCATCCTTCACAGCCCAAGTAGCCATGCTGAGACCCTCTACCACAGCCAGGCCCATGGCTTCTCCCACAGACTGCCCTCTCCCTGCTCTGCACACGCTGGGGACATCCTTCCCCACCCCTATACTGCTTTCTTTAATATCTCTGCCCAGCTGTGGTTTATAAATTGTTTAAATCTTTTCTAGGAACAGATAAAGATCACAGTTACCCAGAATCCAAAAATGCAGACAGCTTGAAATGTGGTTAGGCTCTGCCCTACTTTCATTGAGCTGAGAGCAAGGCTCTGCCAAGGTGCTCAGGGGAGAGGACAAGAGGAGAGAAGGAGAAAAGAGAAAGACCTATCTCAGCACACCACCCCTTCCTCCTGCCCCAAGAAGCAAACCCAACCTGTCCCCCCAACTTTGAACTACACCACTTCTCCTCCTGGTTTGCCCAGGATGTGCAGGTGAGCAGGGCATGGAGATGGGAAGCCTGGGAGAGATGCTCTCCTGCCTTGTAACACTTGACACAGGCACAGGCAACTCTCCAAGCTGAGAGAGGTGTGAGGGTTTTGCTGACTCAGGGCCATGAGGATGGCAATGCAGGGAGTGTTGCAGATTAAGAATGAGATGCGTGGCTAGAGTTTTTATTGTCCACACGCTCACTGACTGCTTTTCCCTATACTAAGTTGCTCCAAGATACAGAAGTGGAAGAGCTGCACAGGACTCCCCTCCCGTGAGAAATCCCCTGCCTGGGAAGCCGGTGCTGGGTTGCAGAGCTGCTGTGAGGCTGTGCCTGCATGGTGAGCACGGCTCCCTTGAACCATCAGGCCCCTCCAACAGCAATACTTACAGGAATATGCACTGACCTGGAAAGGGATACTGCTGAAAAAATCACCAGGAGCCCTTTTTCCTTCTCTCAGTGGGGCCAGCCCACACGACCAACCTGCAGACAAGGAAAGTGTTCCCCACACCTGTTTTACCTGGGGTCTGATTCCCATAACCCTGGGCTTTTCTCACAAGCACCAATCGTGTGCAGAGGAGATGGGACTCAGGTGGGGGAGAACAACTTGCAGATACGTACCTCTGGCTCTGTGACTTTCCCCAAAGTAGAGAATATTTGCTAAGCAATTCCACCTGTATTCTTCCAGATTTGGAACAGTTATATAGACAGACAAGCCACTTGCTGCCACTGATATTTTAAGGGCATTCATCAACTCTGCTTGGAAGGGTATGTATCAAAGCAAGGATCAGAGCAGCTGTGGGGTATTTTTGCTGGTGCTTTCACTAGTGGTAGCAACAGTGAGGCATTTCGGGAGACTGGTTTGATGTAGTCAGGACCATTGAGAGATGCTAAAGAAGGTATCGTCTGGAAGATGATATAGTCCAAGATCATTACAGTATTTATTAACACCACTTACAAGGACTGACTTGAACAGCCTTGGAAGGAAGAATGAAAAAGTGCCAGCAAACACATTACGCTTTCCTGCAAGAGGTTTTTTCACCCTATCGAAAAGCTTTGTTAGAAAGAATGATGAGAATGGTAATAATAAGGCACTATAATACCTGATCCTTCTATAATCTCTCTCTCTGCAGAGTTCGGGAGCACTTTACTGCTATTACTGGATTTGAACAGTCCCATCTGGATAACATATGACTGATTTGTTTGCATGGCTTATTTTAGGTATCTTGCCATGTACATTAGAGTTGCCTTTGTGTCTGACCAATTCCCTGCACAGTCCATAAGAGAGGGAAAAGACCTTCAGCTCCTGCTCTCCACCACCCCGTTCTCTCATCTCAATGACTTAGAGGGTTCTTCACAGAAGTCCAAGGATGAAAGGTGCCATCAGTCCCTCCCAACCCAGTACCACAGACTGAGGTTTACAACAAGGAGGCTGGATAATACCTAGAACATCTGGATTTGCACCTGTATTATTTTAGGCTTGAGATTCAATGAATCCCAACAAGCCCAGGTGCACCTAAAAGTCTAGTGGCAAAGGCCTGGCGCATATCTTGTTCTAATGTACATGCTCTATGGTCAGAATAGTTGCTACCGTTTAGGCTGAAGCCTTTAAACAAGGGTGTCTGCTATGTGCACACATTCCAGGCATGCACAGAACCAGGGAAGGCATGACGGATGCTCGCGTCTTTCTGGACTCAGCATTCCTTGCAATGCCATCTCAGTTACAGTGATGCTGGCAAGCTCCCACCACAGCTCTCCT